GCGATATATAATAAGTGAACCAGAAACGCTTTCACTATAGCCCAGATAGTCGTTCTGAGATCTACAGAGAATAGTAAATTCGATAAATGATGAATCTGTCGACTTATATAAATATTTGCGAGCATTCGGTGCGAATGCAAAGTGGCAAACAATCGAGCTCTATTCTTTGGTGCTTCGCGGCAAAGAGAATTCGCTGATCTTTCTCGTTCAACGATCTCAAACATCTCGTTATCGAGTCGTTATTTCTACGGAGTACGAACGAAAGTATGATTAATTTGGTCGTCGAACAATTTTACTAAAGACTTTCTAAGGAGTTGAGATGATTCTTAGTTTACTCCACCTTGTGAGTGGAAGAAAATCGCGCGATTTGTCGACAGCCGCGAAATCGAGTATAAACCAGGCTATTATCGTTGCTCGAAATCATATCCGGCAGCAAATATTTCACCGAACGAACTGGTTCCAAAACGATTTGACAATCGTCTTTGTGCGACTAACAAGGTTTATCGCCGCGTAAATATCTGCACGTCCGTGTGTGGCATACGAATTACATTATTCCTCGTTCAAAGAGCAATCGAAATAACTCGTTTATGACTATTTATAGTACAGCCGTAAAAGATTATTTACGGATTTATCGCAGCTGTACCCGGAGCAATATTATGGTATACATATTACGAAGCGAATAAATATTTAATTAGAATTAACGGAATTTTGGTACAAATATTTGCGACGAACGACTGAGTTTTGGATGTTAAGCGTGCCACACACGACGGGAGAGACTCTGAGCCTGCGAGGCAAACATCTTAATAGCTAACTTTGCCGCCTTCAAAGTCGTACACGATCACGCGAGATTTTCGATAACTCGAGTCTTATTTGCATTATTTAATCGAGAGCATATGATGAACAAATCTCTGCGAATCCCGAACAGAAGAATAAAAATTCCGGATTCCTTCCAATTCGAGTTCTCAAGAAGAACTCGCTCGCCCATTGAAGAGCAGATCTGAATTCAAAATCGTCACAGCGTTCGACAATACCCTAATACAGAGGAGAATTTTGGCGATCGATGGACGCGAGAGAGCACGGGGGACATAAAGTACCATATCAAATCATGTTCGTCCACAATTGTGATCTATCGGCGACGCGTCAGGTATCACATCTTCGCGGGCGCGAATAATTTATCGCGATCCGACGAACAGGCAACAATATAAGCAATTTCGCGCGCACAATACACACCAGCCACCCTTCCAATAAATATGAACAGAGTAGTAATAAATTACCAAGGACGATTAGAGCGGATCGGCGATAAATTAACGTGAACGCAGCCCCGTTGGTGTATTAGTATCGCGTCTCGCGCGAGTGATCCGCTCGATCATTCACGCCGATTAATCGCTTTTTCCTTCCGCGACACTCTCGATCGACTGCGCGTTTTTCTTTTTTTTTTTTAACGTCTATCTATTAAACGTATCGCCATAATTGACGACTATTGATTGCAGTTCGAATCTAAATTTCGAGATTATTCGTAATCCGTAGTCCGAGTTTGATACTCAAAGTAATTGAAAGTGAAGTATCGAATCGATTTACATAAGCTCTGGATATTCAAGCTGAAGTAAGTTGCGAAATCATATCATTGCCCAATTTAAAAAATGAATTATACGTTGCGTTTCGCGATAAAAAGTGCAAACTGCATTATCACTAAATACGCGCATGGTGTTATGCAGCTGCACTTCCAGAGGGCAGCAAGTATTTGGCCCACGAAACAGAACAATTATAGTAGGTTACGCTCTACGTCAGTTAACAAATATGTACTAACATCGCGTGCAAAGACTACAGATGTGATGTTCACCGAACATCACGGGCATATGAATTGTTTATTTTCCCCCATTTTTAACGTTGCATTATTAAATAAATTACGTTACTATTTATAATATAAAATTAGTGAAAAGTACAGGAAAAAAAAAAACAGAGGAGTCAAAATGAGAATTACGATTTAGAAAATTAAAAAAAAAAAATATTGTGTTTCCTTCGAGCCGGATTCGAACCAGCGACCTATGGATTTCTCTGGGAATCAACTCAACTACAGTCCACCGCTCTACCAACTGAGCTATCGAAGGAATTACAAAAATGATGTGCTTTAACCTAAATAAAGTGCAACTTGCTACGATATATATTTCACGGTTAATTATTGACCATAATATATGTATGTAATATACATATATAACAATTATTACATTTTCCTGAACATATACACGTATTTTAGAAATTAAGTACAAGTGGAAAACAAAAAGTACAATATCTATAATTCTATAACACATAATAGTTATTAAATGCAATAGTAATTATTGGTTATAAAATATAATAGTAATACGATTGATGAAACCACGTTGAGTGTGTTTAACCTTGAATGATTTTGATAAGAGATAAGATCGCATATACGTAAATATAATTCGTGTAGAGTTTGTTAAAAAAGAAAATAAATATCACGATAATATCACCGAAATTACAAACAAAATAAAGCATTTATGCACTTGTTCTTCATCCAAGAGCCGCATGCATATAATAATGTTAAATGACAATTAAAAAGTAAATGACAGACAAAAGAATGCGTCGCGGCATCTACGGTGGAGAATAATCTCTGATTGAGAACCGAGGGAATGAAATAGATTTGGGATGACGTGAAGTAATATAGACAATACACACGGTTAAAATGAATGAAATTCGTCATTCACAAATCGATGGGTAACCTAAAAAACACTCACCCACAATGCACGTTGGAATGCGTCGTCGACCGGATGGTAATCAAAATACTCCTCGACACCAACGTCCGTAAAAACGTTTGACGAAGTTAACATTTATCACAGGCTGGCGTCAGGTTTGCCAAACATTTCGCAGAACTTCAATACACTTTTGTTTACACGTACCACACATCGCACTTTTAATACCGAACGCCACTTGTCGAACGTTTCCGAACAAATTTTCTCGATTGTCAAACGCGCGTCTGAGTGCGTCGCGTGCTGCCATCTGCACGGCTCCCAGAGAATTTCGAATTTGAATACTTTTCAATTGTCGCGCCAAAAGTAATCGACTGCCGAATGTTCGAAATATCTCTCGTTCGTTAAATTTCGACGTTATTGTATTATTAATTATTAAAAATGGAAATTGACGAAACTGAGAAATAGATATTACATGATTTATTATGGTACAAATGGAGATTTTTTTTACTTTAAAAACATCAAATCAATTTAATACAAGTCTTTTATTATTTTAACGATACTACGTCATTAAAGTTTGGTTATATTACTTTGGTTAATTACTGGAAATTGGCGAAATAAATATTACACGCATTGTTATTGGAAATGGAAATTTGCACTTGAAAAACATTGCACTTGAAAAACAACTTGAGAAACAAGCTGAACGTAATGAAATGCAAGATTTTTATTACTTCGTCTGAATATGAATGTAAAGTCTTGATCGAGTTGCCTCAGAATTTGCAATTTAAAACAAATATGTATAAAGAAATATTGCGAAATTTATTTAAAAAATTAATTGGTTTTAGAAACGTTTTCAGCAGAGAGATAATATTTTACGTACCATTTTTCCAAGATATATGAAAAGAACGCGAATCGCGTGACCGAAAAACTCAATGGCCGAATTCAAACTGTTCAAGAGTGGCTAAGACACTCTTTAGCGGGACCTTTTGCCATCTTTAGCCCAATTGTGACATTAATATTTTAATCGAAAATTTAAAATTTAAAAATTTCAAATAATGCTTAGATTATGTTTTGATTCCTTTTCCTTGAGTAATTAGCTAATTTCAAAATCAACATTTATTATCATGAATGATAATAAATCTGATAAAATCAAAAAATGATATTTTATTATTAATACTTGTATCATTAAATGAACTTATATTTTACAGATATTATTTTAAATAACACGCATATAATTTTAGCTTTTATATATTAATTAATTAGTTAATTAGTTTTTATATATTTGTTTCAATTTAATATAATTTAATTAATTTAATTCATATAATTCTCGATTCAAATAATTTTTCTCTATTTTAATTTATATTATTTATATACATCACATGTTGTTCATCATCATCAATGTAATTTTTCTAATTTTTCTCTTTGTATAAAATACGAAATGACCAAGGTTATGTACAATTATACAACTTACGTTAGCAATTTATTAGCAAACTCATTAATAACTAATAAATATTTATTGCCATCTCGTAACGAATTTTCTTTTTTTTTTCTTTATAAATGAGGTGATAGTATTTATTTTATAACATGAAACAGAGTTGAACTTTAAACCAAATGGAAATATGAAAGATTGTAAAAAAAATATTTAGTACTTTCAATATGTACAAACTAAAGTAAATATTTTTAAAAATTGAATAAGGAATTATATTGCTAGACTAAGGAATTTTATTGCATAATTGTCAAAGGTAAATCAAATTAAATTTAGAAGAAAGAAATTATAAAGTATAGTATTAGCAAAAATTATAAAAGTTCGTTTTAAATGTATTGCAGTGAAAAATTTCAAGGACAGGATACAAGAACATATTGAGTCATTTCAACAGATTCGATAGATTGCGCAGAAAAGAAATATCCAGATTTTAGATTAAATATAGCTGCTATGTTTTGTTTCAAAATAATGAAATAGAATGATTTTACATATATCGTAGTATAAAAATTATATTTTGTATTACACTTTCTGTAGTTTTCATAAAAAATTTCTACATTTCATAAAAAATGTTACTAAGAAATTTAGAACATTTACGTTAAAAACATAAACATAACAATGTCACATATATTTTTACACACTTTCATTATAAAATATGCTACCGTGAAAAAATAACAGATCTACTTTTAAGCGTTGCACTTTAAAGGTACAACAATAATTTTTACATTTACCAGTTTAAAAGAATTATGTACAAAATATACAAAATATTCTTCAAAAAATTACATATTTCTTATAAAACATGACAATTATGAAATTATGCAGTATTACTATGGTTTACTTTCTTTTCTACGATATTAATAATTACAGCAATACTTTTCTATTTTCCTGGTTAGGTTCTTTTTTTTTTTAAACTATTACCATGTAAATTTTATTTCAATCAATTTAATTTTTCTCTGAACTAAGTGAACTAACTTCCTTGCATCGCTTCGCTGCTGCTTCAACTGCTCCTATTATGGCTGACCTTAGTCCGTGATCTTCTAGATAATGTATTCCAGTTATCGTAGATCCTACAACAATAAATAATACATGAGTGATTAATGAAAATGAAAAAACAAATATAGTTTTTCAAACCTGCTGGCGACGCTACGTCATCTTTAAGTTGTCCTGGATGTGTATTCGTATCTCGAACCATAGTACCAGCTCCAAGAACTGTTTGTGCAGCTAACTTATATGCGATTGGTCTCATGAGACCCATTTTGACACCTCCATCGGCTAAAGCTTCTATCATCATATATACCTACATTAATAAAAAGAAAATATATACATTTTTTTTTAATGAAAAATATTAATATATAAAGATTTTTGAAAGTATATCAAGATTTTATTACATACATATGCAGGACCTGAACCTGCTAAGGCCGTAACGGGGTCAATTAAATTTTCAGATACTTCTTCGCATAAACCCACAGAGGAAAATAATTTCTCTGCTATTTCAGCTTCTTTATCGCCAGCATGTTTTCCGCGGGCATATACCGTTGCACCACAACCTACAAGGGCGGGTGTATTGGGCATTACTCTAATTACCGGTGCTCCCTCTGGTAAAGCCTGACATTAAAATTAAACTTGCAAATTAAAAATTTTTAAACGATGAAAATGAAGATAAATCAGATTACAAAAAAAGAATAAATAAAAAATTGAAACTAACTTTTGTTAAACTGTGATTAATATTTAAAATTTAATAATAGATTAAGACTTTACCTTTTCTAAAGACGCTAATGGAACACCCATAGCAATAGAAAGTAAAAGTTTTTTATAATTTTTTAAGTCTGGAAGAATCATCGGAACCACTTGGGGTTTCACTGATAAAATCAAAACGTCACCATAATCAACTACAGGTGCGTTGGAAAATACAGTATTTGAGCCTATTTCCTGGAATTGAAAATTGATAAAGTATTAATGACATTTAATATAACGACCAATATCAATAAATACCAGTTAATAAATATCAAATTTAATACTATCGATAAACATAAAGGATTCAAAGTAAATTAAATTGTATAGTTAAAATATAATTTATGAAATTATCGCGAAGCGAAGATAAGATGATACGGTATTGGAAATTTTCCAAAACGTGATAATCAATGTATTAGTGTTGTAGCTAAAAATTTTGTTTACTTCTTAATTTGATAATTAAAGAAGCTATTAAATATTGAGATAAACTATCTTTGAATTGCAGATTGAAGCTGTCGTTAATGCGAAAATGATCATCTATTCAATAGACTCAACTCTATTGAATACAATTATAATTTAATTTATCTAATCTTGATAATCAATTGTGTAAGAAATATCGATAACTTAAAATGATTCTGATATTCTAAAAATGATCATTACGATATTGTACCTAAAATATCTTTTTTATTTGTCAAGCAAACAAAAAATATTTGTTGTTTTTATGTTACTTCGAAGTAAATCCTTCTGACTGATAAAGCTAGTAATCGGATACTTATCTTTTATCACTATTATCCACATATGTAATGATAACGAAATTAATTGACGCAATAAAAAGTTATTATTTTTACCTTAAATGCATCTATACTGCCCACATCGTTTGGAAGGCAACTAGCCAGCATCATTTCACCTTTACTCAATCCTAGATGTTAAAAATAAATCTTATACAAAGATATATACTTGAATATTACATTGCGTTCAAAACACTGCATAAATAATAGCTTTTCTTACCAGCCCGAATGAAACCTCTGGCTAAAGCCTGAGCCATTTTGCCACCTCCTATGAATCCAATCTTCAACATCTTCGTGTCAATGTTCAAAGCGATCCTTTTTTTCTTTTCCTGACAGTCGGCAAGAAGATGATCACTCACTACACAAAATGGTCTTTCGTTAATATATCACAATCTTAGAAAACAGATTTATTCATTACGAATGCGTTATAAAATATTTCTATGATTTTTCCCTTCGCACTCATATAAGAAACCAAGTTAGAGAAGATAAATTAGAAAAAAATTTGGTTCTTTTGTCCAAAGAAGATACAATACACATGCAAGAATTAAAAGTACGAATTGAAAAGTTTCGAATCTGAAATTAAAATTTGCACATAAAGATGAATACAGTCCGATCGCGACATTTACATGCAAATCAGTACGATTCTGGTTTCCGTTTCTAATTTCATCTTTCTCGGCACAGAAATGATTTCAGTAGTTTCTTTTTCTTTTTTTTTTTTTTTTTTATGTAATCATGCATGAGATAAGGCCAATATATTTCCTCTATGCGCAATATATTTACGTTCATTACGCATATGCGACGAACGAAACGCGAGTAATAAATGCCTTGAAATGCTTCTATAATCTGACGGTTTTGCTAGTAAATTATTGTTCGCTTCCATTGTCCTCTTGCAGAAAAATTACAAAATGGTATAACTCGTCGTTTTATCACGATTTACGACAACTGAAGGTTTCTTATAAATCGTACTTGTTATACATCGATAAATGAACGAACATTACATAATTATCGCTGTTTAGGGTACTTTTAATGGCACGAATTGGAGGTCCAAATAATGGACCACATTGTATTTCATTTTTCATAAGTTATTAATGCAATCACGAATAACAATTTTTTAATAAACATTATTAAAAACTGTAGTAAACACTGCATTTGATATATTAAAGTTGAAGTTTAAACAAATGACGCGTAAATTAATTTTGAAAATATCGAAACAGGTCACATATTAGATCATATTAAACGATAAACAAGTGACACTTGAAATAATTTGAATAATAATAATAATAGAATTTTGTTATCATTTTTAAACAAATTGTATAACAAGTTATAACGTTTAAATTACGAAATATCTTTAAGCGGAAAAAGTAGTTTACCCAAATCATGTTTTGCTTTAAGTAAGTGTAATTATACTTTCTCTGGATTTCTGGTTTTAACATTTATGTTGCAACATTCGACTGTTATTGAAGGCCACTCTGTATACTTTCGTTTTACTTCATTTTACATACTTCTAAGAATATATATATATATATATATACATACTTCGGCGATTCCTTTTAGAACTAAAACGTTCAATATATATAATGTATATGAGTAATTTAAATCTTCCTCTCTTTCTCTAACTTAAACAAAGGAAAAAAATAACTAAATAAGTACTAAATAATTACTAGATAATTACTAAATAACTAAATAATTATTTATAATTCAGTTAACATTTTCCATCCGATATTGAACTTATATTTACATACCTGCACTTATATTTACATACCTGCACTAAAATATCCAAATCATCTAATAACTCATAAAAACTTGTAGAAACATTTCTTCGTGCTATTTTAACTATTATTACTTTGTTTTCACTCATACTTCCGTTTAAGTTTAATTACGACGCATTTAAGATTGCATGCGAACGTGACAATCGTACGATACAAACAATATCACGTGTGGAAGGACTTAGCGATTGGTTAAACAGACTCACGTTTCATACTGTTATCGCAAATCGTTTGATAATATTGCAATGTACACTAAATAGAAAATGATATTGCGTTTCGGTTGCTCACCATTTCGGGCATTTAGGCGTCGACGAACTCGTCGGCCTAGTCGTAGAAATTCCATCGTTTTCAGTCCAGTGGTCATTTTTCTTTTTTTTTTTTTTTTT